CAGTCATTGTCAGGGGCGGGGTGAGAGCGGAAGGGTGCGAAGTGTAGCAGCGTTAGTCGACCTTCGACCACCGTAGGCACGTAGCCTGAACGTGGTACTTCTGCGCGCATAAGATTGGCTTTCGTAGTCTAATGGCGGCTGCTTCCGCTGTCGCTAACGGGCGCTGTCCTAGTAGCTTAGGGTAGCTCGATGGTACCTTATAAATTACACGAAAAGTTTTGTTGGGGTCCACACGATGTCCGGAATCGACAACATGCGCGAGAACGGCGCTGTCTATTCTCCTAGTTTCACCTTTTGCCAGCTATGCGGGAAGGTGTTCGCGCATTCTCTTGGATAAGCGCCGACTCGTGCGGCCGATATAACCTGCTCCACAGGAACAAGTGAAGGAATATATGCACATTGAGGTGGTCTGCGGTGGCAACTTATCCTTACCTTCTCAGGTAAAATCGGGTTAGTAGAGAATGTTATTTGAACCCTTGCTGCTGGGAAGGTTCGCGAGACAGCTTGATCAAGGCGTCCCCTTAGGAGTTCACTCGCGGCGTCCCCTTGGAAAGGGACCTTGAGGAACAAAGTCTTCTTTTCGGCGGTCGGTGTGGCGGGTTTGATCGGTCGTTCAACAATATTCTTTTCAACAAACATTTCAGGATATCCGTTTTCGCGAAGGAAGTCCTGGATTTTTCTGAGCTCCTCCTCGATGCTATCTGCTGAGCAAATCTATCACACTAACTGTCAGAGTCTCCTCAACAAGGTAGATAAAGTCAGATTACTAGTCTATGAACAGATGCCACACATGACAGTTCGACCATCGATTTCGATGATGTCCACCGTGTGCCCCACAGTTGCAGCAGCAGTGGGAGCAGGGACGGTGACTTGCGCAGGGGTTTATAGTGCCAGTAGACTTGCGCTGTATCTACCTACACTCTCTCCACCTCCCTCGCCCAAGCCCGGTGTCAAGACAGAGTCAAGAAGACCGGAGATGAGGGAGGCCGCAGGTGGATGGCTCGGACGGATCCTCACCTTGGCGTTCCACCACACCCCCCGGTCCACACAACAATAACCAGGATTTCAACCAACACAACAGAGATTTGGAGGCTGGCACGGCCGAAGCCGCACCTAGGCGTACCGCCAACGCCTGGCTCGGATCCCACACTGTGGTGGGAGTGCCATAAAGGCCACATTAAAAAGGAGCCATTGCAGCCTGACTCTCAGACCGCCTCCCGTTAAGGAGGAGGTCCAAGGTACCCCGTCAGTTGGCAACCTTCCA